GCAATATGTCAATCAATGGAAGGGTAACTGATGTGACACAGCAATCTGTATACGGGGTAAAGTTGGGAGTTCATAACCCGCTTGAATCAAACTGTGAAATATGATGTATTAAGAACTGTGTAAGGTTTTGAACGACCAACGATAAAAATAAATAAATAAATAAATAAATAAAAAAGAGAGAGCATTCTACCTCTGAGCTACACCCCAGCCCTAGTTTTAGTAACAGCTTTAACTAAGGTAAAATTCATATAAATAAATTTATAAAATTATATAAATTCATAAATTTATAAAATTATAAATTTATAAAATTTACCCTTTTAAAATTGTACAGTCCAGTTTTTTTTTTTTTAGGATATTCACAGAATCACATAATCATTACTACTATCCAAGTCTACAATATTTTCATCACTCATCTCTATGGATTTATTTCTTCTGGATATTTCCTGTAAATGGAATCATACAATATGTGGTCTTTTGTTTCTGTCTTCTTTCTCTGGGCATAGTGATTTCAAGGTTCATCCACATACTACATTTTTTGGGGGGGTGGTACCAGGGATTGAACCCAGGGGTACATAACCACTGAGCCACATCCCCAGCCCTTTTAATTTTATTTTGAGACAGGGTTTCACTGAGTTGCTTAGCACTTCACTAAGCTGCCGAGGCTGGCTTTGAACTCATGATCCTCCCTCAGCTTCCCAAGCTGCTAGGATTACAGGTGTGCACCACTGTGCCTGGCTGGCCGGCCTCTATAGGTTTTGATATGAAACTAGATTTTAATTTTTTTTTGGCAGGGGATACCAGGGATTGAACTCAGGGGCACTTGACCACTGAACCACATCCCCAGCCCTATTTTGTTTTTTATTTAGAGACAGGGTCTCACTGAGTTGCATAGCACATTGCTTTGAACTCACGGTCCTTCTGTCTCAGCCTCTTGAAGTGCTGCAATTACAGGTGTGTGCTACCACGTCTGGCTCAGATTTTAATTTTATTGAGGATCCTTTTATGTGAGAAATGTCTTCATTCTTCTTTTTTGTTTTGCAGTGCTAGGAATTGAACCCAGGCATGCTCTACCACTGAGATATACCCCCAGCCCTTTTTATTATTTATTTATTTTTTTAACTTTAAGACAGGGTCTTGCTAAGTTGCTAAGCCTCTGGAGTAGCTGGGATTACAGGTGTGTGTCCATGCTTGGCTTCTTCACTTTCTTTTTTTCATAATTGTATTGGACTCTGAATTTTGACAGTTTGGTTATGATGTGTATTTATGGGTCACCTTGAGTTTATTTGATTTGGAGCTCTTTGGACTTTTAGATCTGCAGATTTCTGTTTTTCATCAATATTTAGCCAGGCACTTGACAAATCTTCCTTCTCTACTTTTTTCTGGCTTAGGGCCTCAAGGTCAACTGGAAGGAAGAGCTAAGGACTTTCATTGGTCTCCCCTGGTCATTCACATGGCCTTCTGAAGACTATTAAGAGCTTTTCAGAGTGCTGTGGACAAGCTTGTTCCTTAGTCTTTCTTTTCAGGCCTTTTGGTTAGTCTTTTTTTTTTTGCCACACTGTTATACATCACCTCAGGCAGCACCAACCAAAGCCTTTGTCTGTGAATGTTTTCCACTAATGTGTCCCCAAGTAGTGGCTTCACATAGCCTCTGAGCCCCCTCCCAAGACTGTCAATGGATGAACTCTCCAGCTGGCTCTCTGCTCTGACAATTGGCCTTCTTGCCGCTCTTGTCCTTGGCACTCACCTGCCACATGTAAACCAGACACTTAGGAGTCTATTCATTACTGATTGAATGGCAACTGAATCCTCCATTTTAAAATTTATTATAGCATTTATCCTAATCACCACTGTCACTCTGACTCTTGCCGCAGTCTGTATAATTGCTGTTAGTAAAATGCTTATAATCTATACTGTCATTATTATAATAATGATTACTAGTATGCTTAACAGTATGCCATTTCACTGGTCACCAGGGAACAACAGGACTGGTGATAGGTGTGGCTTTTCAGAGTGGCACTCTTTATGTCTAGGCTGTGTGAACCAGACAGTGCTGGCCCTGGCCCCACACTTCAGTGCAGGGAGGTGGCTGCTCACCCTTGAGCTCTCCGCAGCCTTGAGGTTCAAAGCCAGGGCTCCTGACAGCTCTTGTCAGTGCTGCTTTATGATTTACTTTAAGACATGTTCTTAGACTCTAGACATGCTCAGAGAAAGGAGCCAGTATCATATCCAAGCCAAAGTGCACTTGGAATGGTCCTTTGCTTCTCACCTGTCTCCCAGCATGCACATTAGGGCCTTGGTCTCAACCTCCTAAGCCCCACCTCTTGGAAGGATTTTTGTTTCTTCCCCTACCAATCTGGGTGCCAGTAGCTGAGCTGTGTTGGTGACATGTCCTGGAATATGAAGTGAGGGTTTGTGTGAGGTGATGAGTGCACCTGCTGTGAATGGAACTACCATGAAGTCACATTTAGAAGACAAAGCAACACTGTCAGTGCTGAGAATGAGGGAGTGTGTCAATGACCCCAACACAAGAAAGATGTTTATAGCTATAGACAGTAGGAAGGGAGTGGGAACCATTTGCCTGATGCCGTGCCTGGGGAAGCTGCGGGGACAGGACAGCCAAGGCAGCAGTGCTAGGGGAGCTAGTCTGCCTGGTGGAACTTGCCACAGTGGTTCCAGGGCCTGGCTGCTCTAGAAGCAAAGCAGGTGAAGCAGGCCTGTAGAGAGGGGACAGCTACATAGGCAGATGCCCCCCAGCAAGATTCTAGCCTGCCCTGGTGTGAAAAAAAAATGATGGAGCCAGGACATGGGCGGGGCACAGGGGCAGCCTGCCACCTAGGCTCCTCTCCCCAGCCCAGCGACTATCCAGGGTAGGGGATGAACACTAGCACCAGGAAGAGATGAGGCCTGGGCGTGTAGGAAATCTGACCTGGAGAACTTTCAGAGAAAAGACTGAGCACTTGCTCAATGTGATACCCAAACACAAAGACCTAGCAGTGAAGAAAGGCAAACGGGCAACACATGTCTAAGAGTGGGGGGAAAAGCCAGAAAATGAGTACGAGGCTCAGAGAGGTAGAGGCTGGATGGAGGTGGCCAACTGTCTCTAGAGCCAGAGAGGAAGGGAAGCCTTGAGTGGGCAGAACTGAAGTGGGTGAGTCTCCACACCAAGTCCAGAGCAGATGGAACCCAAAACATGCAGCCCGGGACTCATGCCATCAGGAGTGCCAGGACCAGTGACCTGAGGGCAAAGCTGCCAGAGAGAAAGCTCAAGCAGGGCCTCAGGAGCAGCCATGGGGGCCAGATGATAGAATCTCACAAGGGCCAGGCACAATGGCACACGCCTGTAATCCCTGTGACTCTGGAGCCTAAGGCAAGAGGATCACAAGTTCAAAGCCAGCCTCAGCAACTTACTGAGTCCCAGTCTCTACATAAAAACTAAAAAGGGCTGGGGATGGAGCTCAGTGGGATAGCATCCCTGAGTTAAATCCCTAGATCCCCCCTCCACTAAAAAAGTAAGGACCAGGTAGGTGGCTTAGGGCCTCGGATACTAGACATAGCCAAGCTCTCGGAAAAAATCAAGGCAAAGCAGCTGGAAACATGCCAGGGTTTGATAAAGGCAGATGCCACCCAAACTAAAGGCAGGTTGGAATCTGGGAAAACACCATCTGCAGAGAGGAGTGGATTGCCACAGGAAGCCCTCTCAACTGGCATGCCCTGGAAGTACTGGTGGCAATTGGGAAGGGTCCTCAGGGCAAGGTTCAGAGTGGCCAAGCACATCCCCTCTCTGGAAGGAGAAGTCTTCCACTCAGGCACACCTATGTATGAGTCTTGAGCTCCAGAACCACCCTTGGGATGGGCAGAGGATGACAAATTTAGGTGATCACTAATGTCTATGTTAATGACCTTGAAATGTGCAAGGCAAAGTACAGCTGAGGGTGGGATGTTCTCCCAAGGAGAAGGTAGGGCTGGGGAGTCAAATTGGTAGAGGAAGAAACAGGTTTGTGTTTACGTTAGGAAAACTCAAAGATAGAACTTAGCTCTGGGTGGGAAAGGGCAACTGAAGCTGATGGCTGGGGAGGCCTATGCAGTTACTGGGTACATCAGCTATAGCCCTTCCCTCCTATGCAAGCTGGGTATCTCGTGTAGTGAGTGTAGTTCCAAGCAGGGTGGGGTGGGCAGCAGAGTCAGGAGCTCTTCAGCTAAGGTCTTAGAGCTGGCTGTTCCATATCACTGGGTTAATTATTATGCACACACATTATTCATCTGATTAAAATAGACACATCATCATCAGTCAGAACAAGCCCCGGCTTCTCACTGCATTGCATCCCCTGGGCTCTGGGGTGGCTGGCAGGGGCAAGGATGTGACTGGCCTGAGCCTCGGCTCCATGCTGTAGTCAGTGTGACCCAGCCCAGGACTCTGAGCTGCTTGCCTGGCACTTACAGTAGTTTCTGGGCACAGTAGCTACTAAGACTGGCACCTAGGTTTCAAGCCCCATGGGGGCTAGGTGGGGCCCCCTCCCTGCCACTCAGTTATGTCTGAGAGGGAGGATGCGGGCCTCAGGTGGGAGCCAGGAGGCGATCCTGGGAGGTGCTGCCCAACACTGCCTTTGCCAGGCCCAGAAGCACTAGGCTCACTTTTCTGTTTGTGTTTTTCTTTCCTCTGCAGCCACCAAAATGGATGAACTAACCCAGAAGTATAAGGTCTTCAATGACAGTCTGCAAAAAGGCACAGGATAATGCAGAAGCAGGAGGCCCTCCCAGCACGCTTGCTGGAGAAGTGGTTCCAGTACCCATTGTGCCTCCATTTGTCGGGTGCCTTCAGCTTTTTGGGAGGGTGGGTGGGAGGGCAGAGAGGGCCAGGGCTGTTTGAGCTACAAAGAAAGGAAACCTCAGACTCTTAAGAAGTTGCCTCCAGCCTGCTCTTTGCTTCTGCCTTTTGGGTCCCTTGTCTCCCCTCTGGCCTGGGCTACTGAGCTCCCTTCCTGTCCGTAGTATCACAGGTCTGGGGTCTGCTGTCCTGGTAGGCCTGGGCCCTGCCTCTACTCCTTCCTATCATTACCTGCTTAAACTTGGCTATGCCTGGTGGGCGTGGGCCCTGCCCCTTGCCTGGTGCCTTCACTCCTTCCTGTCATTGCCTGGTTAAGTTTGGCTGTGCCCAGCCAAGGCCTCCACTCACCATGCATGCACCCGTCTCCCTGCCACCCCTGGCCTGTCCCCATTCCTGTGTGAGCACTTCTCATAGCCCCTCAGGAGCCCTCATCATGCGCCTGGGAGACAGCTTGTCTATTCCTTCCTCCCAGGGTGCTCAGCATCTATTGGGGAATTCTTGATGTGGCCTGACTGGTTGTCCAGGAAGCTGCTCTCTGGGCTTCCCAAGATGACCCAGTATCTCTCTGAGCAGTGTGCCTGTCACAGACACCTCCCTTCCTTTGAGCATGGGAACAGGAAGGACTGGTGGGGCCTGAGGGAGGGGGCTCCCTCCTGCCTGAGGCTGCTCTGCCTACTCAACTCCCTGCACCATCGCCTTTACTCTCCCAAGTTCTCCTATGGGCACTTGAGGCAAGGAAGCACCAGGGAACCAGGCACCAGGCCCCCTCCTGCTTTCACTTGGGGTGGCCCCTAGATTGCTGCTGTGGGGGGACAGGCAGACCCGTGCTCACCACTGTCCGGGTGAACTGACTGCCTTGCAGATCAAAGGACACATGAGGGTTTGCACTGGGCAGAGAGCAGCATCCTGATGCCCTCCCTATTCCCTTAGCAGGAGATTGGACCTGTAGTGTGTCCACTGCCAAATGCTGGCATGTTGTGCTCTGGAATGAGGTTCTTGGGATTCTACACGCTTCCTGGACCAGGGATGGTTCTCTGGCCATCCTCCTATCTTGATGGTGCCCTTCATCCGGAGCCAGGTGGAAAAGGGGTCCCAGGAGCTGGGCTTTACTCCTATTCTGTGATCCTGGGGCCACCTAGCCCCTACCCCCCCCCCATGTTGCATGTTCCTATAAGTGGAAGAATCTGTACAGGCACAGGCCAGCCTGTGGGGCTTGCTGGGCCAGGCCCAACCACTTCTCCAGCCCAGCAGAGTTGCTCCTGCCTCACCTCTTCCCTCCGTGACAGCCTCTGCTCAATGCTTGTTAGACATCATGGGTCATTTCAACCTGGAGCAGATAAACATCCCATTCCCCTTCCTGATGGAAGATGAACCCACAAGGTGGGTGAGCAAAAGCCAGGCAGTGTCTATACTGGGCACATCCCTGAGGCCACCCCTGGTCATTAGGGTGACCCAAGCCTGTTCTTAGCACCCCTCCTTCTTCATAGGCCGAGTGAGACATGTGGGTGCCTGTTTCACTGTTGAGGTCACATTAGGACAGCCTGGTCCCCAGTGATGGGGAAACCAAGGCCTGGAGAAGGTGACAAGTCTGTGTGACATGTCCATCATGGGGCTTGGCATCAAACTTGGGTCTGCCGGACCTGGTAGCTGCAGCCTGACCCTCATCAGACTCAGGCAGGACTATAAGTAGAGGGCACAGCCTTCTGCCCCACTCCAGCTTCCTTGTACCTGTGAGGACACGTTTCTGCAGCCCATGGCAGCACTCTTCACTCACCAGAAGCCTGCGTGTGGCCAGAGCCTGCTTCCCAATCTGTAAACACGGGGTGTGTTTCCCAGTGGTGGTGAGCTTGAGAGGGGGTGGCAAGCGAGCCGGCCACACAGGTCCTGCGGCCTCAGGCCTCCTGGTTGCCCAACAAGCTGCTGGGGGCGGGCCACAGCTACTGATTAAAGGCTGCCTCAAGCAGCCTGTGTGGAGACAGGTGTCCCGTCCTGCAGCCTAGGAAGCCGGCCAGCGCCTGCCCCAGGTAAGCCAGTGTGGTGGGGTTGGTGAGGACTGCCTCTGGGAGCCAGGAGGCAGGCAGAGGCCTGTTTAGAGCTAATATTGGAGGAGGAAGGCTAGGACCACTGTGTGGGCTTTCTTGGGTGTCTGCTCCCAGTCTTGGTATCTACGAAGTGGCCAAAGTGCCATTCCTGGGCTATATCTGCCTCCCAATGTCCCTGGAGGGAACTGCGGCTAGACAATGGCCTGGCAGCAAAAGGCAGAGGGAGGGCTTGGGACTAGGATCTGGGCTCTGTAGGCCTTCCCTTTCCTCTGTTAGGTGGTAGGAAGTGTGGCTGGCTAGGGAGAGATGTGAGGGATAAAGGGGGATGGGTCCCTAGCAGGCCCCTTCCTGGACAGAAGTTAACAGGTCCTGATCACTGGGTCCCAGCCCTGTAGAGGCCCATTCAAAGTCTCCTTGGATGTAGGCTTTAGATATCACTTCTAGAGCCAAAGCTCTGTGAACTGGAGTGGGGGTAGCAAGGAAGTGAAACCTAATGGGATCAGAACTTTGACCAGAGAGATGGCTGTGGGTAACAGGGCCCAGGTGTCCCCATCTCTTTAGCATTCAGATTTATGCCTCTTACTCTGGCAGCTCTAGGCCTCACTGCCCCTGTGAAAACATCACCATGTCTGAGCCAACCCGGGCTGAGACCTTTGTCTTCTTGGACCTGGAAGCCACTGGGCTCCCCAATGTGGATCCAGAGATCGCCGAGATATCCCTCTTCGCTGTTCACCGTTCCTCCCTGGAGAACCCTGAGCGTGATGAGTCTGGCACCCCCATGCTGCCCCGTATCCTGGACAAGCTCACATTGTGCATGTGTCCAGAGCGCCCCTTCACTGCCAAGGCCAGCGAGATTACGGGCCTGAGCAGCGAGGGCCTGGCGCAGTGCCGGAAGGCTGGCTTTGATGGTGCTGTGGTGCGGACACTGCAGGCCTTCCTGAGCCGCCAGGAGGGCCCTATTTGCCTTGTGGCCCACAATGGGTTTGACTACGACTTCCCTCTGCTCTGTACAGAGCTTCAACGCCTGGGTGCTCACCTGCCCCGGGACACTGTCTGCCTGGATACGCTGCCAGCGTTGCGGGGCTTGGACCGTGCCCACAGCCACAGCACCCGGGCTCAAGGCCGCAAGGGGTACAGCTTGGGCAGCCTCTTCCACCGCTATTTCAATGCTGAGCCAAATGCAGCCCACTCAGCTGAGGGCGATGTACACACCCTGCTCCTCATCTTCCTGCATCGCGCTGCTGAGCTACTCGCCTGGGCAGATGAGCAGGCCCGCAGTTGGGCCCACATTGAGCCCATGTACACACCCCCTGATGGCCCAAGCATTGAGGCCTGATTCCACCTTACCAGTTCATCCAGGCTCTGTGGCCTGGAGCTGGTCCTCACCAGGGAGATTTGCTGCCCTTTATCCTAGTTCTTAGCTGGATGAGCCCAGGCCTGGTTGACCATAGAGCCCAAGAACCTTTAAGCCCACCTCCAGGCCTATACACCGTCTTGGTGGCCTGCATGCTCTTGCCGTTGGCAGCTTTGGGGATTCCATTCTTCCCCTCTTTCTCAATAAACATCACTAACTACTTACCTGCTGACTTACTGGCCAGACCTTGAGGCCAGGCTCCCTGCCTAGGCCTCCCATCATCCTGTCTAGAGGGCAGGCAGGGAGCTGTGCCTGCCAGAGAAGAGCCCCCAGCTTGCCCCACTGTGGTCTGTCCCTGTGGGGATGTCAGAATCCATGCGCTACTGACCCTGAGCCACTGGCTGCCTTCCTGGCTTGTCTTAATGTCACCTTGAGTATGCCTCTCTGTATTGTTGCCCCGGAGGTCTAAGAAATGAACGAACAGGGTCTTGGATTGAGCAGCTTCAATATGTGCCAGGAAGGGAGATGGAAGGGGGATCTGAGCCTAGAGAATTGGCACCTATCAGGATGCAAAGCCCAGTCCAGCACTCAGCCATTGTGGGGCCCATCCAGAGTTGTCTCTGTGCTGTGAAGTGGTAACAGGGTGAATTGATATGGGGCACTGGGAGAAGGGAGGTGCCTCCTATCCACATGCAGGCATAGTACATGTACATGCTGTGCCACAGGAAGTCCACGGAAACATGTGGGAAAGGGGTGAAAGAGGAGGTTATGTTGTAAAACTGACCTGAGGCGTGGAAGAGGGGTAGGTAGCCAGCACAGAGGGCACTACCCAGAAAGGAACATATCCTGGGCCCCACTTCTAGAGGCGCAGCCCTAGGAAGGCTAGGAGGGCACCTCACTAGCCAACTCATCTGGGCTTTGGGTTGCTGGTTAATCTGTCTCTGGAGCCCCACCCTGAGGCACTCCCATCTTGCAAGGAGGTGGACAAGGAGAGACCTGTCACCCAAACGCTGGGGTAGGTAAGAAGGGGTGGAGTGGCCACATCTAAGAGTGACTCTCACAAGCAAAGCCTCCAGCCTTGAGCCAGCCAGGCCCGTTTGGGGAACCCTAAGTAGGTCAAAAAGTCTAGGACTTCTGCAGTATGCAAGGTGGCAGGATGATAAGGACAGAACAGAGGCAGCAGCCACACCAGATGGTCCTCATGGCCTGGCTGGAACCGAGCCTGATGGTAAGGGTGAGCTACAGATGGTTGTAAGCAGGAGAGGGCAGGATCTGATTTATGTGTAGTTTTCAGTACCTCTCAGGCTGCTATGTGGAGAATGAAACTAGAGGAGGTATGGGGAGGGTGACAGTAAATAAGAGAGAAGTAGAAGGGTTAGGGATATGGAAGGAGAGTCATCAGTCTGGTTAGGGACAAAATGGTGGGGACAGGGGAGGGATGTAGTAAGGGGAAGCCCTGCAGTGGCTAGTTTGGGATTGGGCTCAGTAACCGGGTCTTGTCACAGCCAAGCTTTCTGATCAGAGCTGTGCCTGAGGGAGTGTTGCAAAGCCAGGGCTGGGCGGGCGGGGCCAGGCTTCAGAGAAGCTGAAGGAGTAGGGGGTACAGGGTCTCCCAGAACTGCCGACCAGACAGTTTGTCCCTTTTATCTGTTGGCTGGGCTCCAGGTGGGTAGCCTGAACCAGCAGGTGGTGCCCTTGGAATGCTGGCCTTACGGCTGGGCTGACTCAGTCAGAGGGTGCTCAATGCCAGGTCGTGCAGAGAGAAAGACTGCCCAATCTGTGTCAATGTTGCCTCTGCAGGGTGGTCTCCAGTTTGTGTCCTCCCATCCCTCCAGGACCAAGGAGCCTGTCTCTCACCATTCTGGGCTCCCTTGACCTCATGGTGTCCTGGCCTCAGGCACCCTCCCTGAGTTGGTGCTCCCCCGGACCAGCCAGGACAAGCGTTGTGCTTCCATGTAGTGTAGACAGGCTGTGACCTGCCTCCTGCTGTTTCAAAGCAGTGTTGTGCTGATAAATGTGTAGCAACTGGCTATCCAGGAAAGGCCCCGGAAGCATTTGTATTTATATTTGTATGTTTGTGCCTGAGCTGTGACAGCATCTGATGAACAAATGTAGTTCCCACATAAATGTTGGCTGAGATTCTCATTTATCTTAAGGTGAAGGTAAAACAACGAGGCAGTATGTTGGAGTATCCTTACTCATGGTGATCATAATGTCATGGTCACAGACAAGACATTCTTCAGTTTGATCTGTATTATTAACATTTTCCCCATCATTTGCTAAGTCTAGGCAATTAAAAAAAAGCAGAAATAAATTGCTGAAGGTGGACTTGGCAAGAGATTTTACATAATATGCTAGACCTTCCATTTCCACCATGCAGATCTTCTAGATGAACAGCAACACATAGAAAAACATGGTCAAATAAGATGTGATGGTGGGCTGGGGTTGTGGCTCAGTGACAGACCACTTGCTTGCACATGTGAGGCACTGGGTTTGATCCTCAGCATCGCATAAAAATAAATAAACAAAATAAGGATATTGTGCTCATGTATAACTAAAAAATATTTTCAAAAAGATGTGGTTGGTTTTGAGTATCATCTTTCTTTTTAATAAATGGAAGGTGCTCTTGCTACATACAACAGTTTGGATGAGTCTCAGAGCAATATGTTGAGTGAAAGGAGCTGTGGTGTGTCCTAAGAGCCAACTCCAGAGCTCCAGCTTGTCCCTGGCCTACCACCTGCCCCTTGCCAAGCTGCATTATTGATTGACATGAGACCATGGGGGATATCTGCCCATGGGGACGTCGCTGTGATAACAAGAGCATACCTGGGGAACATTTGACACAAGCCAGTCGAAAACAGAATTATCTACAGAGAGAGACAAACACTAAAATTAAAAGGCCATAAGCATTTCTAGATTGTCTGTGCAAGAGACAGTGACAAGAACAGTCATAGCTCTTAGTTATAGAGGCTGGAAGTTCAAGACCAAGGTAATAGCAGGCTCAGTATCTGTTGACAGCTCCCTTCCTCATGGATAGTACCTTCTTGTTGAGTCCTCATGTGGTGGAAGGGACTAGCTCACTCTGTGGGGTCTCTTGTATGGGCACTAATCACATCCATGGGACTCTGCCGTTATGATCTACTCACCTTCCAAAGGCTGCATCTTATAATATATAACCTTGGTGATTAGATTTTAAAATATGAATAGGGGGCACACTCAGACCATAACACACAAAGATACACAGACACAAGTTTCCATTTCCCCCCATGTATACACACCTCTAAACCCCCACGTACTCCCACAACCCGTTCACGCACATACACACATACATGCCCCTCATTCCCACATATTCACTTATGATTTTGTATAAATGGCATTTTACTAGATGCTGCTTTTTAAAAAAATCATAAAAGCCTTTGTTGTTCGAGTTTTTCTTCTTGTTGCAGCACTGGTCGTTGACCCCAGGGGCACTTTACCACTCAGCTACATCCTAAGCCCTTTTTTAGAATTTCAAAACAGGGGTTTGCTAAGCTGCTGAGATTAGCTTTGAACTTGCTATCCTCCTGCCTCAGTCCCCTGAGCTGCTGGGATTATAGGCATGTGCCACTACACCTGGCATTATTATTTTTGTTTGTTTTTGAGGCAGGGTCTCACCATGTTGCTTATCTTGCCCAGGCTTACACCTCTTTATTTTCCTGACTTGGTCTCCCAAGTCACTGAGATTACAGATATTTGCCATTATGCCTGGAATTTTTAATGATTTTCTAGTTGATTTCCTCTAGGTTTTCAAATGTATTGCCATCATTCTATTCTTTTGTTTTAAGTAGAAATTTTAAAGCAAGTGAGCAGAAATTTTATTAAAAAGTAAGAGAAAGATTCAGAACTCCTGGTGTAGCATGCCTGGGAAGAGGGAGAGTGTCCCATGACTCTTCTTCAGTATCTGTACTTATGTCTCCTTTCCATTGCTGGTCATATGTTCATGTGTGGTTATTTTTTACTTAACAAGGATCGTAAGAGATTCATACATTTTAAAGAAGAAAACAGTATTTTTTTGGTACTAGGGATTGATCCCAGGGGATGGATCTTAACCACTGAGCCACATCCCCAGCCCCATTTTGTAGTTTATTTAGAGAGAGGATCTCACTGAGTTGCTTAGGGCCTCACTGGGTTGCTGAGGCTGGCTTTGAACTTGTGATCCTCCTGCCTCAGCCTCCCATGCTTCTGGGATTACAGACATGTTCCACCATGCCTGGCAAAAAACAGGATTTTGAATTCTTTCTCCTTTTTAAATTATCTGCTTCATTAACTTCAGCTTTTATTTTGATTAATTCCAACAATAAATTTTCTTTGGTTTAGTTTTTGCTCTTTCTTCCAGTTTCCTGAGATGAAGACTAACTACCTTTGTCATCCCTCTTCTTGAAAGACTAAGGCATGCAAAGGCTGCAATTGTGCACCTAACTATGTCCCGTTAAACATGCTTCTTTGCTTTGCTTTAGAGCTAGTTCGTGATTTCGCCTTTCATTTCTTTCCCAATCTAATGCTTGTTTAGTAGAATTTATCTTAATTTTGGAGTAGTGAAGATTTTGCAGTCATCTTTTATTGTGTATTTTAGTTGGATAAGATGTGAGAATGTGTTGCTTAAAATATCATCTTTTTGTCTGGGTGAAGTGGGCATGCTTGTAATCCCAGGGGTTTAGGAGGCTGAGGCAGGAGGATCACAATTTTTAAGGCAAGATCCAGTAATTTAGTGAGACCCTGTCTCAAAATAAAAAATCAAAAATGGCTGGGGGATATAGTTTAGAGGTAGAGTGTCCTTGAGTTTGACCCATGATACCCCAAAAAGAAAAATCATGACTGAATGTTATTTGGGGACTGTGTGAGTTTTCTAGGGCTGCCATAGCAAAGCATAATAAACTGGGGGACTAAAATAATCGAAATGTATTATTTCACAGTTCTGGAAGCTGGAAGCACAAGATCAAGGTGTCATCAGGGTGGGTTCCTTCTGCAGGCCCTGAAAAGTCTGTGCCATACCCTTTCCCTAGCTTCTGGTATTTGCTAGCAATCTTTTCTATTTCTTGGCTTGTTGGTGCACAGTTCTGATCTCTGCTTTCTTCTTCGCATGGTCTTCTCCCTGCCTGCATTCTCTGTGCCCAAATCCCCCCTTTGTATAAGGACACAGTCACCATGGATAAGGGCCTAACCTAATAACCTCATCTTAACTTGACGACCTTTATAAGAACTTTATCTCCAATGAGGTCACATTCTCAGGTACTAGGGTTAGGACTCCAACATATTTTAGGGGATGAGGTGACCCATAAAATTGGCGAAAATAATGAATACTTTAAAAAAATGTGTCACAGACTCTGAAAATTTGCATCTCCTTAAGGCACATGGGGTTTCTATATATTTCTAAAAGCTAGTTTGACAATCATACTACTATTTAATTTCTTTACTGTTTTATTGTTTTTTTTAAAATCAATTACATCTGTCTAATTCTATGACAATATAGGAAATATTCCATTTTAATTTCCTTTCACTGAGGTCTTCCTTCTGGTCCATAGTTTTCCTTTGCACATGTGCAGCTGCTGCATGTATGCTTACTGCTTTTGTGACTGGTTAGTCTGCATTCTCATAGTGCCTGTATGTCTATCTATCCATCTATGGAGAAACCTTAAGGTTTTGGCTCTTGTGATGTGGAGGCTTCAGGGCAGACTGGGAACTGAGGGAAGAACTGCAGTTTGAGTCCAAAGGTCACCTTTCTATTCAGGTGATCTTAGTCTTTCTTCCTTAAGGCCTTCAGGTGATTCAGATGAGGCTGCCCCACATTGTGAACAGAAAATCTGTATGTACTGGTTTAAATGTTTAATCTCAACTGAGCAATATTTTAGCATATTCAGACTGGTGTTCGAGCAAAATCTGGGTACCCTTGATACAAGAGTCAAACTGATACCTGAGCCAGCCTCACAGTGACTATTGTATAGTTATTCTCTGATCTTTTCTTAATGCATAAGGTCCCAAGTCTGGATTTAGGCTTCCCAGAATATTCTGCCAGCCCCTCTGTTGTCACTTTATAGAATGAACCAAACAGTTTACAAGAATGACCTCCTCTTACCACTTCCCCCTGGAGATCTCTGTGGTTTCAAGGGTTATTTGATCTGGTGGCTTTGCTTCTAGAAGTAGTTTCTCAATCCTCACTTTCCTTTCCCTGCCAGGTGAGTGGTATTGGGCTAGGATTAGGGCCCATGGGCTACTGACCTTTCCTCAGCTTCCAGCTGCCAGAGTTGCCCAGGGAAGCCAGCCTACTTTCATTCTGTGGTGGGTTCCTTCTGTTTGGAGGCTTCTAAGATATTCCTATGTCCTGGGAGCTCAGGAATGTTTGCCAGGCAATGCCTAGGTCTGTGGCAATTAGAATGGGAGCCTAAAGTCCCTCTGATGTGCAGACAAGGAGCCTTTGACTTCTCAAAGATATTTCTTTAATCATTTGTGAAAGCACATGGCACACAAATGTCTGAGATGGGAAGCAGGGAGCAGACCTTGGATCAGCAAGCTCTTTTTTATTCAGTGGTGGAGTCAATTGGTGGAACACCTGACATGGCTAAGTTTTGAGGTGAAAAAATGGCTTCTGGCCACCACGAGGGTCTGGGTTTTATATACAGACTTAGCAGAGCCAGGCCATGAGAGGAGTTAATTACTTTTGGTGGGCCCTTTTGGTGGGCAGGGGGTAGGGCCAGGTCATGGGAGGAGTTTTGGTGGCAGGATTATTTAGGGTGGGGTGGGAGGACAGGTAGGTAATGATATCCTTCAGCTTGTTCAGTTTTCCCTCTGACCTTGCTCCTTTCTTCAACCCTCTTGATCAACATTCTCCCACTTTCCATCTTTTGATTCCTAGTTGTCCTCAGGATATAGCCCTAGTCTTTGGGGTCCTGTAATAGCAGCAACCCCTTAAGTGAGTGTCCTTGTTACTGTCTGACAATTGCCACAGTCCCTAGCCTTCTAAGTTGCCAGTCTCCTCCCATGGCAGTAGCCACAAGGTCTCTGCTTGCCAAAGGGTGGCTGTGCTGTTCCTGGATGCCCCCATGGCCCTGGGTAGCTGGGGTAATGGGCCTGCACTCAGCTCCTCCCACCCTGACCTTGATGCCAAACTTGAGGAAGACCCTGCCAACCCAAACTTCTCCACAAATGTAGAAAATAAGGCAAACAGTAAACCAAATGGTGATGATGACAGGCACTCCAGTCCTCTACTGACATTGCAGGGGTCATGAAAGGAATCTCACCCTGTAGCCAGGCAGATAGCATCTCAAGATAACTCCCATGCCATTGAGATTATAGGTTTATGAAAAACTCTGAAAAGGGGAGAGGAAAGAGTTCTTCCAACAGGGAACCCACGGATTTTGAATGACCCTGCTTTCATGCTGAGTAAGGTGGGTACCCAGCCTAGCCATGCCCCTTCCTCTCCATTTGGCTGTGTAGTCTCTCAGGCCAGGTAAGGGATGAGCTCCTGCTGAAGGGATCCTGGTGGCCATCCTAGGCACTTGTCTGCCTGTGGGCTTCCCTCTGTAGGTGCACGTGTATCCCACAGTCTGCCTGATTCTCCGCTGCTGAGGGGTGACCTCCATGCACACTCAACCCCAATAGTTGGGCTGGAGAAAGAACTCAGTCTCCCTTCCCCAGTAGGCTTGGCCCTGCCGAGTTCTACCCTGTATCACTGCCCTGAACCTCAGCATCAACCAGGGCTCCTGGAAAGAGTGCTCAGCAGCCCTGCTGCAGGTGTCCTTGTTACTGAGCATCTTTAGAAATGCTTGGCCTTTAGGGCTTCTTAACCTCAGTGAAGGGCTTCTTAACCTCAGTTAAGTGCTGTCTATCACCTGAAGTGATTATTTTGACAACCAGATGAACACGTCTGACCACTCATTCAATTTCTACCCATTGCCACATACTGGCTCCCGACCTCCCAGGATTTACATGCAAAGAGTCAAAGGCCCATAGGTAGAAATGGAGGAATCAGTGGGGCTGTACTCCCTCAAAATGCTCTAGGGAAGGATCCTTCCCTGTCTTTTCCAGCTTCTCATGGTCCCACAGGTTTTTATTGGTTATGCCCACATCACTCCAATCCCTGTCCTCACTTGGCTGTCTTTTCCTTATGTGACAATGTCTACACATGACATTTGCTTTTCCATCCATTCCCATAAGCACAGGATATAACCAAGATACCTTGGACCCCAGTGTTCCATCTCTGCAAAACTAAACTACTCTTATTCCCCTCAACCATGCTTTCTTATTTTCTCCTCTATCTTTCTCCCTCCACCCTTTTTGTGCCTGCCTGACTTGATTTTCCTCTACCTCCTCATACCTTGTTTCCACTCAACTAGCTAAAGTGTGAAAAAGCACATCATATTATTAAGTGTAGAATATTTTTACTGAAAACAAAACCCCAAAATTAATTTGATTATTTGTTTTGATTTGATTTTGTTTTTCTGTCAAAAGACTTTGCTAGAATTTTTTTTTTCAATCTTGGAATAATTATAAATTCTTGGAATTATCAACATGGGATACATGGCTCTGTTTCGTATTTATGGTCAAGGCCACTGTCAAATCTGGGTTGGGCTAAATAAAAACACAATAAGAACAAATGATTATTCCTGATTCTGAGTCTAGGCAACATATATATCATATTCATCCTCAACTCAACAGTTAAATGTTCAGTTCTGTGTCCACTGAGGGAATAGATACCTAAATGAGAATGTAGGGTTACTAAAGATGGTTGAAAAATAATAACCCCAGTATCAGTAATCACATTGTCAGAGAAGGCCTGGATACTGAAACTACAACCTAATGCTGAGAGGAATTGAAGAAGGCCCCCAACATGGAGAACATACCATGTCCTTGGTTTCAAAGGGTCAATACTAAGATGTCAATCCTCCCCCAAATGATTCATCAATCCAATGCAATCCCAGTGAAAATCCCAGAAAGCTTTTGTTTTTCCTAGAAATTGGCAATGTATTGTAAAACTCATGTGGACTTTGAAAAATAAGAACAGAGAACAAATTCCTTATTGATTTCAAGATTTAGAAAGCTACAGTAATCAAGAGTGTGGCATTGACATAAAGGTACACAAAATGTTTTAGCTGGTTGGGATACAATAATAAAATACCATACACTGGGAAGCTTAAACAATAGATTTATTTCTCATCATTCTGGAGGTTAGGAAGTCCAAGATCAAGGTGCTGTCACATTTGACTCTTGGAACATAGCTTCATTCTCTCTGTAGCTTTACATGTTGGAGAGAGGACACTGGTATTTCTTACCTTTAGGGAACTAATCCCATCATGGAGGCCCCTCCCTCATGACCTCATCTAAACCTAACCTTCTCAAAGATCCCACCTCCCTAACACCAGCCATAGGGCTTACACACATGACTTTTGTGGGGACACAAATATTCAATCCATAGCACTGATGTGGCAGCATGAAGACTCTAGAAACAGATTCACAATCATACATACAACTGATTTTCCACAAAGGCACCAATGCAATTCCACCAAGGGAACAACTATTTTTGCAACAAATGATACTGGGGAAACTGGATATACAGATAGGAAAAAGGGAATTTTGAAAGACATATACTGTATAGAGTCCATTTATATATAGAACTTTAGGAAGTACAAATTAATTTATAGTGACAGAAAGTAGAGCAGTGATTATAAGGATGGGGGTAGGGAGGAGCAGGAAGGAGGGGCTACTGGGGCCAAAGGCCATTACTGGGGGGGGTGATGAATATGTTCACTGTCTTGATGGTGGGGATGGTTTCATGGGTAAACACACATGTCAAAATCCATCTAATCGTACACTTTAAAGATGTGTAGACTATTATATGCCTATTATATCTCCATAAGTTGTCAAAGAAGGGTTAAAAAACCAAGAACCCCCAGTAGCCTTCATTTCCAGCCTGAAAGTTCCTAGTTGGTGGAAAAGGACCGAGTTTAACCTTCCTAGACACAAAAGAAGGCACTGTGCCATTCACAAATGCCCAAGGCCTTGAACTTGATGGTACTTCTAACATAAAAATAAGGATCTTCTGAAAAGCTGTCCAGGAATCCTGGAGGGTCTGTTATTGTGAAGTCATAGTTATACTGGGGCCAGCAAAAGACAAACCAGCTACAAATACCATGGCAAGTGGGAACTCCTGAGGAATGTGGTGGTGGCCCCTACTATGCTTCCCTTTTATATTACCTCTTCATGCACAGTGGACTTGAGCCATACAGAACCATGTCACACCTCACAGACTTAAGAACTATCATCTGGATAGTTATTGTATAGATTACACTTTACAACATTGGTGGTTGTTAAGATGTCAATTACTATAGCAGCTATAATTTACATTAATTTTCCTTCTTCCATCACAGAATAACTCATGTTTTGAAAACCTGCTCCTCACCTAGTACCAGCTAAAGCCACACTCTGGAGTGTGGCATCCTAAGCTCTCCACACTTGAGGTCTAATTGACCTTAAACCTAGAACAGTCCTGGAGAAATCCCTCAGCCTTTCATGGTTCCCCCAACATACCAAATGCTCACTCTCCTTTCCTTCACCTGTTCCAATTCAAGCACTTCTCAACAAATCCACAACAGAAGTCCCTCTACTTCTACTTCCTGTCTGAAGAGCTGGGCACTCTCACTTATGGGTGTGGATTCTGCCATGCTGTGTTGCCTGAAGTCTGGCAACAGAAATTGCCAAAGCCAGAGCTGCTATTCTCCAGGAGGTGATGTGGCAGCTTGTTAAGGAACATACCAGGCTGGCCAAATCTCCCTTCCTGGTTGCAGTCATGGTATCCAACCAGCTTTAGTTGGCTGTCCATAACCCAGTCAGAGGAGTCTATACTCTGTTGTAGGACCCCAGACAGAGCTCCATGCACCAGGGAACCCAAAGGTTACCAAAACACTGGCTCTGGGCTCTTCTCAGATTCCTGGTGAAGGCTTTTCCTAAAAACTTTAACCCAACTGCCTGTTTAAACATTCAAAATAGCCCCTACCTATTAGAGGGCTTCTTTCAAGGCCAACACTTGTAGAACTTCTTTATTTGCAGCCAAAAGAAGTGGAAGCAATCCCATCTCACAACAAATTCAGCCAGGACCACTTACCAGTTGCATGGAGATACTGCCACAGTATGTATACACCTCTTGGGAAAGCATTTATTCAAAGTTTCAAAGAGCAAATGGTCCAAAGGGGAAGGGGCCTAAGATTGGCATCCAGGAAAGACCCTGGGGAGGGGGAGCAGCTGGAGGAAGGAATGGAAAGCAGCAGGACTTTCCTGGATAGTTTATCTTTTACACTCTTTTGTCTCTCAAAAAGCAAGGGCAATCATCCCCATCTCCCACACAGCAGAAGGGATGGAGCCCAATTTACAGGCACCATAGAAGGAAAAAAAGAGTCCTTTCCAGGCCCTCTCTTCCCTCTCTTATTCCATGCAAAACCTGTGTTGCATACCTGATTACCCTACCTGAAAGAAAAAACTACTCTTATTTGAGTTGTAGTGAAAATCTAATTAACAGGAACTAAATTACACTGAGAACAGGAGAAACAAAAAGACTAGCTTGCCATTATAAGCATCATTTACCTAGGCAAGCACTAGAGGTTTTGGAGCTTTCCAGGGCACTCAAAGTCAGAGAGCAGTGCCCTATATCTCTCCTGGTAGACCCACTTTCTGCTGAAAATGCTACACATGATGCTTTCTGTAGGGTGTAGGACTAAGGTGAAAAAAAGGTGCTTGTGTTAAAAATAGAATTAGCTTATTATACATTAGAACCAATGGAATGTCACTGTTCTGGGAGAGGCAGCTCTTCTCCAGTAGAAGTTGGTGACTGTCCGGCTTGTAGGAACTGAATAGTTCCCTTCCCAGAGCACTGGAAATGGACATTAGAGTACATGGGACAGAGACCTTACACAGCCTTCTGCTAAGGATACCTGCTCTATATGGGAACTGGTTCCCTGCATCTCTGCAGGCCCTAGGAGATTGTCTGAGACTCAGAAAAAACCCAAATGCCAATTACCTCACCAGGAACTTCAGAGACATGTTCCTACTGGAAAACATAAAGTTGCAAATGCTTTGGATTGCCTCCACATGAGGCTGGAGCTGACGAGACTGAGCCCAAGTGCAAAATGTGCTGAGTGCGCAGAGTCCATTTCACTCGCATCTGCTAGTGCCAGACCTGGGCTGTTACAGAGGAAACAAGGCTGAACATGGCACACAGCTGTACGCTTATGGGGCATCAGCTTACAGACAAGAAGGCAATCATAGGACAAGGAAATAGGGAGCCACTGGACACAAGCCACCTTGAGACAACAATAAGTTACAGAACTCTGGAACCTTTCACAAAATAGTTCATATATATAAAACTTATATACATGTGCGTGTGTCTACATGTATGAAATTTTTGGAGTTGTCTTAATGACTGGCACTCCAAGCAGCATCCTTGGAAGGAACCTGGATTTTTAGGTCCTCCCACATTCTCCTGGCAGGAGGAAAACGTCTTTGAACCTCCCCTGTCTGGCAGGAAAGTGCATGCTCCTCCTTGGGGTCCCCATGGGTGGCCTCCACCACACCTATCACTTACACACCCTTGGAGGGGCTCTCTCCTGGGAGTGTAGCAGGATGGAATGAGTGGTCAACTGACCAGGATGCTGGGCTGAGAATACCAAGGGGTCAGAATTCCCAGGCCTCCAGGGACAGTGTGGGTAGAACAGGACAGTGCCTGCTGGCAGCTGCCTCCAGTTAGTAGCAAGCTTTCCTCTTGAAAACTCCCCTAATATTTCATAAAGTGCCTTCTGAAGGGTCTGCCCTATCCATGGGGCTGAAGGGGGGAGAAGAGGCGCAGGCTTGCCACCACCTTATCAGATGTGGGCCTGGGATGGCCCCTTTCTCCTGCTTGAGGTCTTGTCAGGGGGTTGGGGAATTCTTATTTAAGGAGTGATTCCCTGCACTCTCATATGGCCAAAATCTCCATTATCAACTTACACTATCCCTGAATACAAAAACGTTCCAAGCAAGGGCACCTTGGATATTCTAAGAAATGTCATGTGAAAGGCAGCTGCCCTGTCACCCAGATCCAACTCAGGAGCAGTTAAGTTTAAAGCTTTAGGCACTGGCGGGTGTGGGGGTAGGCAGAGAGGCCAGGACAGCCTTTGCTGGGTAGACAGGTTTGGGGTCTGGTTGACAGAGGCAACAGGGCATTAGCTGGGGGCTGGTGGGCAGGGAGGAGACTGAAGCCAGCAGGACAATGGGGGCACAAATGTTGCCATGTCTTGTTCAGAGCCCACTCCTGTGAGGAACCACAGGAGGTCCATCCAGGGCTCCTCTCCTAGAGAGGAGAAGCTTAGGCTCTCTCGGTCTTATCCTTTGTGTAGAATGCAGGGCAGCCATTTCCCAGAAACCCCCCCCCTCTGAGAGGCAGTGAGGCTATGTGCAGCTCCTCCTCCGAGCAGCAGGGGGTGCCCAACAGGACCGGAATTTTCGGGCACAGCCTCCCACGGTTCCCCACACCTGCAGGGCTTTCCCGCGCTACTAGTTAGCTAGTAGGCTCGTGCCTTCCCTAGGAGCAGCAGTCTAGTTTCAGAGCTCTCTGCGTTTAATACGCCCTGAAAGAGTTAAAGTGCTTGTAGTGTCTTCTACGCAGAAACACTAACTCTTGGCAGGAGGCGAATGGCCCCGCCCTGGAGTGAGGACGGGGGCCATTACCGTGTAAACTCCTCGCACGAGGCGAGGCGACGCTGCCTCCTCCCTCCACACAGCAGGCAGTTGTCCGCGGATGGGGGAGCAATTCCGCAATGTACAAAGCTCAGCCGGCGCCTCCGCACGCGTGCGTGGGCGCCTAGGAGTACCCAGGTAGGCTGGGCCAGGCCTCGGGGTGCAGTCTCTCAGTATCCACGGCCCCTGTCCCCCCTCCCCGCCCTACCCTTAGGGACAGAGCGCACTTGGGGAAGGGCGCGTCCTTCCACTCAAGAGTCGTGCTCTGTTTCTTGGCCTCAGGGAGAGACTTTGCCCTGGGTCTTCCCAGAGCCCAGAACGCTGGCCCCGTGGCCGCCATCGCTCCCCTCAACGAGTGACTTCCCCTCGAAAGCCGCCGCCCGCGGGCTGCCCGCCTGGGGCTTCTCGCCGCCATGGGAGTGCCTGTGGCCACTCAGCTGCGACTTACTCTCGAAGGCCTGGCCGCAGTGCTCACACGTGTGGGGCTTCTGGCCGCTGCGGCTCCGCCGGGGCTCGGCCGAGCTGCTCTCGCCGCCCTCCTGGGGCCGCGGCCCTCGGTGCCCACGCTTCGGCTCAAGGAGCATGCAGCCGCGCCTCAGCCCCTTGGCGCGGCCCCGGCGCTCGGAGGCCCGTATGCCACCGTGCACCGCCTGATGCTTGAAGAGGTTGGCGCGGCGGCCAAACGCCTTGCCGCACTCGCTGCACTCATAGGGCTTCTCGCCGCTGTGCACGCGCCGGTGCTGGCTGAGGCCAGAGCGGCCGCGGAACGCCTTGCCACACTCCTGGCACGCGAAGGGCTTCTCGCCACTGTGGCTGCGCTGGTGGTGAATGAGCTGCGAGACGCCCTTGAAGGCCTTGCCGCACTCGGGGCAGGTGTAGGGCTTCTGGCCGCTGTGGGTGCGCTGGTGCTCGATGAGGTTGGAGCTGCGGCTGAACGCCTTGCCACACTCGCTGCACGCATAAGGCCGCTCGCCGCTGTGGATGCGCTGGTGCTCCAGCAGCGCGAAGCTGCGCCGGAACAGCTTCCCGCACTCGCTGCAGGCGAAGGGCTTCTCGCCGCTGTGGATGATCTGGTGCTTGATGAGGTTGGAACTGCGCGTGAAGGTCTTGCCGCACTCGCCGCACGCATACGGCTTCTCACCGCTGTGGATGCGCTGGTGCTCCAGCAGCGCGAAGCTGCGCCGGAACAGCTTCCCGCACTCGCTGCAGGAGAAGGGCTTCTCGCCACTGTGGATGATGCGGTGCTTGATCAGATTGGAGCTGCGGCTGAAGGATTTCCCGCACTGTTGACACAGGTACCTTTTCTCGACGCCCTTGGAAAGCTGTTGCCTTAGAACCGGATTGTGTACAGAGTCCCGGGGACTTCTCTGTGCAGACACTTTCTTGGTGCCTCCTGGCTGGGGAGGTGACCCTGCCACCTGGCCCCCTTTGCCGCCCTGAAAGTCAGGTCCTGGGAGTCCTCTTCCAGAACGTTTCTGTTTTGAAATGGCTGTCTTGCTCTTTATCCTCTCACCTGCAAAGACAAAGAGTGCCAGGCAGTGTCAAGTGTCACCCCTCTCTCGGACTCTATTGAGGGTTTTACTCTTCTTCACCTTAGCAGAAAAACATCAGGCAGGCAGACAGAAGGAGAGAGACAAGATGGACTGGAAATGGTGGCTGAAAGGGTGTGAGGCAGCAGGACAGAGGCTCTCACTTCACCAGGATGGGAGGGGAGCCCTTGGGAGACCGAACATCTGACACTAAAGACAATTTCGCAGCCAGGGTGGATGTGCCAAACCATCCTAGTTTGGTAGCAGCTCTTTCCTTTCTTGGGATTCTAGCAAGTGGGATGAGCACTCCTCACTCACCTGCATGTGATTCTGCCTCTGCTTGGCCTCTAAGGGAGTTTGCTACCCAAGGCCCCTCCCCTCGCTCCAGCTGGGACACCAGGGGAGGCTTGGAGAAGGCAAATCCTGTTCACAGAAATAAAGCAGGTTAGCAACATTATGGCTAAGGGCAGAGTGATTCCTAAACACAGTACAGCCTTAACATCTGCAGAAAATAGAAAGCAAAGAACTTTCTAGAAAGTGCCACTAAGAAAGTCCAGAGAAAGGTCACCCACAGCCATGCTCCTTGAAAGGTGAATGTCCCTGTTTCACCATCCAACTCAACTGAGAATCCTGAAGTTTCCTTGGAAAAAGATGGGTCTCTATCTGTCTGGTGAATGTCAGAGAAGCCAGGGGAAGAGCTAATTTCTCTCAAAGGGGTCAGGTTACAGAATTGAAGTCTGTAGAGTCCAAAGAAAAGGGCTCAGTGCTAAATGGCCTCCTCACAACCCCAAAGGCTTTGGGATTTAGTGGGAGAGCCACCTCTAGATTTACAGCCCACTCCCAGCAGCCAGGAAAATGCTGGGAAAAAGGAAGTCCTCAGCTCAGCTGTAGCCAATAACATGCTGAGCTGCAGGAGGGGAAAGGCCAGTCCCTGAGCTCCTCAGACACAGGAGGCAGGGTAATTGTGGCACTCACTCTCTCAAAGCTTCTGCCACAGCCCCCCCACCCAACCTGTGACTCTTGGTTTTGCCCTTCAATTAGTAAAATTGACATCCCTCGTGGTGTCATAAAGACAAGAAGTTGGGGGCATGTTGACAGAGGAAGGGAAAGCTGCCTGCTCACACCTGTCCCAGCTTCTTCTTGGATTCTTTGAGGCACATCTAGTGCACACTTAGTCCTTGCTTGGCACCTCCATGGCTTATGTGAGGAAATCCTGCTGCTAAATTCTACAAAGTGGGATGAGTGGAAAATGAAACTATTATAAAGATAAATCAAGTTTAGAATAGTGCATATAAATATTGCAGCATAAGTGGCATTATATTATAAGTAGAAAGATATTTAGTTAATTCATGACTTTATATACATAATAACTGATTTGGCACTAAACCATTTAGCTGAAAACTCCTATTGAGATGACAGCTGGCCTACAACAGATGACTAGACTGGTGGAGATGGACAAATGCATTTATTCTTGGACTCATAGTAATTAACCAAAAAAAAAAAAAAAAACCTCAGAAATAGAGTCCAGAGGCAGAATAGTTGGGCCTGGGTGTTTGTATATGGTAGGGTCACTTACCCAATGACACTAAATGGCCATAGTTCTCCAGCATCACCTGCTTGTAGAGGATTCTTTGTTTGAGATCCAGAAGCTTCCATTCTGTCTTTGTGAAGTACATTGCCACGTCCTCAAATGATATTGGGACCTAAAATAAGCCATTCCTGCAGCTGTAGGGGAATTTAAGCCCTTGGGTCCCAGGATGAGCCAACAGCAACAGAATGTGGGTGTCCCCACCCCACCCCCAGAGAGCTCAGCAGGAAGGGCAGGCTGAGTTGTAAGCAGACCACTTATGAAAGAGGAGCTGACAGAAGTCAGGACACCTACTTTGTGGCACTCAGGAAAGGGGCATGATGCTGAGGCTAGCCTAAGCTCTCCTGAGTAAAATGGAAAGGTCCAGAATCTGGAGGGGCATTGGAGACCTCTGAGGGAAGATACTGGGGGGGGAGGGCCACCCACTCACCTTGGGCCTTGTCCTCAGGAGAATGGCCGCCATCACCAGGCACCTGGAGAAGCTGAGGGAAGTGCAGAGCCCTGGTGAGACCAGGCTGGCCTAGAGCACCAACTGGCTGCTCAGAAGCCAACCACAACTTGTTTCAAACCCTGGGTGGTTTTTCTTGTCCAGTGGAGCCGAGCAAGGTCGGGCTTTGGTGAGTGTGGTGGTGAGGTGGAGCAGGAACAAGCCAGTGGTCTCTCCCTGAGAGACCCAGGACTCAGGTGTCCCACTGAGTGTAGCTGCTGCACACTTGCCCACTGCACACCTTGATTACATCTGCAAAGACCCTATTTTTCACAGACAGACAGACCATCAACATGTCTTTTTTGGAGGGGCACAATGTAGCCCCCAACATGTTCCTAAACAGCCTCCATGCCGTCTTTTCCTCGGTGCAGTGGGCTGAGGGCCAGGGATCCCATGCCTACCTCTCACACCAGGCCCACCCATCTCACCTTCCAAGGGAGTCTGTCCTTTCTTTTTTTGATTTCCTTCTTTTATTAGCTCTATTCTCATCTGACTAGGACCCCCTGACCCTAAATTTCTAGCCTTTCTGAAGAAAAGAAGGATCTGTTGAAGTGGAATGAATGCTAGAACTATTGTCCCATTTCTAGAGGGAAGTAGATTTAAGGGGCCCAACACCCAAGTGCAAAAGGTAACCTCAATAAGATGCTGGAGTGGGCTGGGGATGTGGCTCAAGCGGTAGCGCGCTCGCCTGGCATGTGTGCGGCCCAGGTTCGATCCTCAGCACCACATACCAACAAAGATGCTGTGTCTGCCGAAAACTAAAAAATAAATATTAAAAAAAAATTAAAAAAATAAGATGCTGGAGTGAATGAAGAGTCATCAAAAATATTGGGGATGATGGGAAGGTGGTGGATAATGATGAGGTGGCCATCAGAGGACTAAAGGGGATCATCAGTGCTCATGTGTTGAGTGGATAATGGCACTGAGTCATGTAAGAAAATGTCTTTTTTTCTTTTTGGTACTGGAGATTGAACTCAGGGGCACTCGACCACTGAGCCACATCCCCAGCTCTATTTTGTATTTTATTTAGACACAGGGTCTCACTGAGTTGCTTAGCACCTCGCTGTTGCTGAGGCTGGCTTTGAACTCATGATCCTTCTGGTTCAGCCTCCCAAGCTGCTGTGATTATAGGCATGTATCACCGTGCCTGGCCCTTTTTTCTTTTAAAATGTAACTTGAGAAGTGCACATATGTTGGCCCTACCAAAAGTAAAGTCATGCTAAGAAATTATAGAGAAATGGTTAATTTGTATAACTATCCAAAGGAATTATGGGGGCTTAAGGTTTAGCTTAGTGATAGAGTGCTTATTTATAGTGAGAGAAGCATTGGGTTTGATTCCCAGAGTGTACACAGTCAAAGTTATAAGTTTGTCTTGAGTTGATTTAAGTCTTATCTAATAGATCTGCTAATGGAAAAAATTTGGATCTTCAGATGTGTACAGGTGAAAAATTATTAAAGCTTATTTTCCTAAACTCACTTGGCTGTTACCCCATTAGGACCTTAGGCTACTATACTTAATCTTCAAGTAAAATTTGTATCTTCCAGATCACAACAGTACCATGGGTAAGCCCCATACCTCTTCTCAGACTCCCAGTGGCTCCAAAGGCTCATCTCTTATCTGACCCCTTTTAAAATAGTGTATGACAGACCGTTTCTGTATACTGGCTATTCCTGAGTGTGCTGTCAGCCTAGATACCATGGTTGAGGCCCTCACTGACTTACAGCAATAGGTCAATTCCCTGGCTGCTGAGGTCCTACAGACAGGTGAGACTTGGCTATGATCACTGCTGCACAGGGGTGAGTCTGCATACTGCTCCAACAGGAGTGCTGTTTTTGAAGCAACAAGTCAGGACAGATTGGGATAACATTCGCACACTAACCTTCCAGGCAGGCATCACAATTAAGGGAAAAGGCAGCCTAGGGTGGGTTCTCTTGTAAGGAGACTTGGTTGTGGTTTATTAACCTCTAGTTAATCCCACTTCTTTGGTTTGATTCCTGTTTGCTAAACCTCCTCACTAAGTTTATCTCTTTCCACCTACAGGCCATGAACCTGCAGAAGTCCCTGAGGTTTGCTAGGGACTATTAACTATCGTGCCTGAGGCCTCACTGCCATCATCATCTGTATCAGATCAAGTGGGGCAAAGATTCTACAGTGCTCACCCGCCAGCAAACATCTCCTGTAAAGCAAGGAACCCTAACACTCCTATCCCAACCCCTTGACACTTAGCAAGGACTCAGACTTCATGCCCCTCTCTAGCATGAAGTAGCGGAAGATGTGATCTGATGCCCCAAATCTGAAGGATTTCAGAGTTCTGAGTCCCTGATGGAGCAATGGTAGATTAGGTAGATAGACAGGAACAGGGGAGGTGGGGAAAGGAAACCCAGGTTCTTCCCCTGGGGCCACCCAACTGACTGTTACACCGTCCAGGTATCACTTTCTTGCAGTCAGACAGCTCCTTGTCAATATAGAGAAAATGGATATGATCTGTGCTGGAAAATAATTTCACCATGGCAAAACTGGTTCAGACAGAGTAAGCTCTGGTGGAAACTACACTGACCAGCCCAAATAAATAATTCATGGGTCTGGAGAATACTAAACAGGCCATAAGCACCCACAGTGCAGAAGACACAAGGCTGTTTCCTCTGTTGGAGGAGTATCATTCCAAATTAAAAAAAAAGCACCCTTTATACATTTGTAAAACAAAAAACAGAAAAAAACACCATAAAATGTTAAAGAAATGTGTATTGAAGCATTTGAGGAGGAAATGGTATGCAACTCGCTAAAATTATACATACATACATATATATATATATATTTATGAAAAAAAGGATGAAGCAAAATAAGGCAAGATGGCAATTACTGCTAAATATGGAAGGTAGGAACCTGGGATTCTCTAGACTCTTCTTTCTACCTATCTGTATACTTGATAGTGTTTGCTGTAGTTTGGATCTAGAATGTTCCCCAAAGGCCCATGTGTTAAAGGCTTGGTACCCAGGGTTAAGGTATTGGGAGATGAGGTCTAGTGGGAGGATTTTAGGTCAGTGAGGGTGTGCTATTGAAGTGAATAGTGGGACCCTGGCCCCTTCCTCGTCCTTTTGTTGCCTCTCTCTGTGGTGGTGAGTGCTGTTGCTCTGCCATGTCCACATGCTATGACATACTGCCTTGGCATAGGCCCAAAGCCAGGGGGCCAATTGTTCACAGATGAAAGTTCCAAACCTGTGAGGCAAAACAAGTCTTTTCTCTTTATAAGTTATCTTAGTTATTTTGTTATAGTTATGGACAACTGACTAACATGGTGTTCACAAAATGGAAAAAAGCTATGGAAACCATTTTGGTCATTCCTCAACGAGTTAAACACAGTTACCATACAACCAGCCAATTTTATTCCTGGGTATGTACTTACAAGAATTGAAAACACATGCTCAAGAACTTGTATACCCATGTCCACAGCAGCAGCATTGACCAAAGCCAAAAGATGAACACAAACCAAATGTCCATCAGCAGATGAATGGATAAACAAAATGGTCTGTATATACAATGGAATATTATAAAAAGGTTGGAAATTCTGACACATGCTACAGTGTGGGTGAACCCTGAGGACATTTTGTTAAGTGAAAAAAGCCAGACAAAGACATAAAAGGCCACATATTGTATGATTCCATTTATATGATGTAATACGATATTTCTCAAGAGCTCTCTTGACCTAGTTTTGAAGTTGTAGCTGGAAACTCTCTTCTCTCTGTCCTTCATGGGCAATGTGTAAGCTCCCATTGTCCACCACTTCTTGTATCAGGATCCAACTCTCTGGGGCCACTAAACACACCCCTATGGACTCCTTATTGGGCTCCTACTCTCTGGGGCCAGGTTCCAGACAACTAGGAACAAATACAATACCCCAGACCTCACAAAATTCTTCAAATTTGCGAATCCACAGACAGCTACCCCACTCACTGACTAGGCATAAGTTGCCCCTACATCTCCAGCTTGCTGTTGCCCTGTTACTGGGTGCAACCCCCTGTAGCCCCTTGTGGCAGCCTTCTCTTGTTCAGAGCTTCAAGAATCTGAGTTCTGCCTTTTGCAGAGCCCAGTGTTACTGTGCAGTGAGCCACATCCAAAAAATCTGATGCAACATATGACATGCTCAGAATAGGCAAATCTGTAGGCCCAGAAAGCAACCAGGGGCTGGGGGCTGGAGATAGGGAAAGACTGCTAATGGGTCAGTGGTTTCCTTATGGGGTGATGAAAACTACATCCAGGTGGGGTCACACCACACTGAATATACTACATGTCATTGAATTGGTCCTTTTAAAATGTTAAAGTTTGTGTTGAGAATCTCACCTCGATTTACAAAAGGGGAGGGGGTCCTACTGGAATTGTTCAGATGCTCATAGACCACACATATATTTTCATTGTGATGCACTGTCAGTCACTGGGTACCCCGGGACTCTAAAGAATCACTGATAATTTCAAGGTTTTCAGGATAAAATTATTGTTTTGAAACCCAGCATAAGCTTGTTTTTCACTGTCATAACAGTTCTTCAAGGTTATTGTCTATTTTGGAAAAACTGGAACGAGGAGGAGGTATCTCTAGTTCCCCTACTCAAGACATAAGAGGTAGGTCTGATCCCAGATGGGGCAGAAAGCTGTCAGGTAGTGATCCCTGAGAGACCCACCCCATGGTCAGGATTCCACCTAGTGGAGGCAAGGCCACATGAGGCTCCAAGTGTCTGTCTTTGAGATCTACTATGGAAAGTTAGCTATAATTTCAACTTTGGCAAAAGGACTTGACAGGCCTGTACTCACAGATCCCAGCAGTGACTTCGGGGCAGGCAGGGTGGCACTCCCTAGTATGTGCAGAAGGAGACACCTGGAGGGCTGCCAGAGCACAGGACAAGTTGAAGGATGATCCAGGCCCTAGAGCTCAGATTTTCTGCAACATGAGGCTGGGCATGCAGGTGAGGCCCTTCAACCTGTGCCTCAGGTGAGGCCAGGGAGTCCTGTCAACCTGTGTACCCAGAAGCCTCTTCCTGGGCTGGTCCACTTCTTTGAGGGGCCTCGGCCCCCGGCCAGCAGCAGACTTCCCCCATCCTTGCTCTGGCAAAATGGAGTGTTGCTGGGCAGCCTCACTGCAGGCTGACAGCAGAGGACAGGAGGCTTGGAAGGAGTCCACTGCCCAAGGAAAGAAAGCCTTGGTGAAAAGGGAAAGTCCGTCAGCGCACCTCAGAATCATCCTGAACACCAACACTAGGTGGGGCGCTTTCCCCAGAAACAGAAAACAAACCAAACAACATTAATTAAAGCATTCAGAGCTGGGGCTTTTTCATCCAAGAGGTGGAACATCATCGGGTCCATCAGCTCAAGACCCCAGCTGCCTCCTCTCAGCCCTGCTAGCTCTTCTTGTTCTGGGGTCCTAGTCACCTGCCACCCACTTCGTGAAATGGCCAGGGAGATCAGCATGGAGGGCCTGCCTGGGCACTCTCACAGATCAGCCCCTGGGCCAAGGCTCCATGAGCCTAGCTTGGTAAGGCCCTCTGGGGAGCTCTTCTACCACTACTGTGTGCAGGCTGTGGGGACAGAGGCTGACCTAGACATAAAAAGGGCCGTCTAGGTTGTTTGCTGAGGATCCTTCCCACAGGTGTTCAGGTCCTGCCCTTTTCTGTTCACGGATCTTCCTGAGATGCCCATGTCACTCAGAGCAAACCCTCATGCCCTTTCCTGAACCATTTCTCCCCCACCCTTTCCTCTGCTCCAGGCATACTGATGTCCAACCTCTAGCTCCCATAAGCCAGGCCACTCCTGCCTCAGTGCCTTTGCACCAGCTGTTCCCTCTATCCAGAAAGCTCTTCCAAAGCATAAGCACATGACTCTTTCTTTTACCACCTTCAAGTATTTTTGGAGAAATAGTGCCTATGAAATGAGACCTATTCTAGCTTTACTATGTAAACTGGAAACTGGACCTCCCTTCCCCAGTTCTTACCATCTTTTAACATTTTTTATAATCACTAATTTAAAACGTGTACTGTTTATTGTCTGTTTAGCCACCAGGACTAGACCAGAGAGCAGAGATTTTTTTTTTCTTTCTTGTTCCCTGATAGATCCCGGATGTCTGCAGCAACATGGCCCATAGAGGGTACTTAGAAGATATTCATTGGGCTGAACTAGTCATAACTAGCCCTGTGGGGAAGTGTTGGGCACAGTTCCCTGCTCAGATTAGCTCACCTTGCTCCCTCTTGCTCTTCCCCATCTTCCATCCAGCCCGTCCCTTCCTCTACCTTAGCTTGGTTAAGCTTATGCCCTTCCCTGGTGTAGGATGGGATGACACACATAGACACGCACTACTGAGATGCACAAACCCCCACCCTAGATAGCCACAGGAGCACAGTTTTGTATCCCTCTATCAGGGAACCCTCTGGTTCTGTGCCTGTGGACAGTTTGCCAGGTGCCCCTGGGCAACAGTGTCATGGCCTCACAGTGGCAGATTGTCCCTCGTTTCCACACCCAGAGGTGCAAAATCCAAACTTACCTGGTGGATTAGCGACGGGATGCTTTTGCGCCAGCTCCAGGACCAGCGGCAGAAAACCAATCAGAGTAGAGAAACTGGAAAACACGGGCTGAGGCTCCCCAGGCGTCCAGCTCAGGCTGATCCCTCTCCTGTGGTGCCCCTGGAAGCGGGCAGCCCCGAGGGCCAGCCTGGCTGCTTTTCGCCCTCGCCTGCCTCCCAGGACGTCCCTGACTGTCGCCGCCGCTGCTGCTCCTTCTACCCTGTGGCTACCTGCACCCGCCCTCTTGTGCCCCTGCCGAGACTCCAACCCGCTCCACTGCGTCCCTGCCCAGCTGGCTACCAGGTCTCCTCGGGCGGCGAGGGCTGTCGGCCTCCCCTCCCGCCCCCCCACCCCGCAGGCCTGAGGCCAAGGCCGCCGCCTCCGAGAAGCCCTCCGGGGCGGCGTCCCTGGAGGCGGGGGTGCCCAGCGGGGTCTCGACCTCGCCTGCGGGCGCTCCTTGGGAGGAGCGTCCTGCGTGTCTGTCCGTCGGTCAGGCAGGCTGGCGCTGCTGAACGGGGCCGCAAGCGGGCGGGGCTGGGGCGGCGGCGGCGTGGGAACGGGGCGCGAGGGGGGGCACGGAGCATGCGCGGCGCGGTGAGAGGGCGGCCCGGCCCTCGCCCGCCCCACAGGGGCGTCTGGCCTCGCTCCCCACGCACCCCTGGGCACTTCCGTTTTCCGTCTGGGCTGCTCCCAGGGCTTGGGGTCACGGTAGTCACTGTACTGAAGTCCCTGAAGGACGTAGAGGAGGGGCCAGCATTGGCAGAGTACTTCCCCTGGGACAGACCCCTGGACGTTAAGTCCATCTATTCATCCATCCATCTCTCTGAGGTCTACGGGGCCCCTGCAGAGTGGCTAGCATCAACTGGGAAGGCTGTGGTCTGGCAATAAAGGACCAAATTGCGTGCACTGGAAGGAAGGGATCAGAAAGTGGTGGGGGGCATGAAAGGGGACTTGGGGAAAGTGGATATGGAGGCAGATGGAGAGCAAAGAGGAAGCCAGCAAAGGCAAGAGGCAAAGACTTATTGGGTACAGAGGCCTGCCCCTCAGGTTTTCCCACACGAGCTTAAAGTCAGCCCCCAGAATGGGCATTGGGGTTGCCATTTTCCCATAGGTTATGGTCCACATGGTGGAACCAAGATGGCAACTCAGGGCTGAGTTGGATGTTGCTCTGTTGAGGATTATGACTTCCTTGAAGAAAATGTAGGAGAGTGAAAAAAAAAAAAAAACAAAAGAAAAGTAACAGGGGGAAAAAAAACCACCCAGTCACACTGCATGTCTCACCTGCTACAGGCAGGAACAGGGCCTCCAGGGCAGCAAACCCAGATTTAGAAATGGGAGAAGGACCTGGGTTGCAGAGGTTACACTTTCCTCCCCTGGCTCCACTTTTCCTGCTGCACCACCCCTTCATTTTCCCCTATCCAAGACTGGCAAGCTCCTGGGCTGCAGGGCACAGGCGCTGTCCTAGGGCTGCAGTGCTGCCTGCTGAGCAGGGGTCTGTGTGAGGTAATTCTATCCTGGGCGCAGGAGAGCAGCCAGGCTTGGCTGCAGCATATCCCCAGGGGCTCCCACGGGGAGGGATCTGGAGAAGGGGTTCTGGGTGAAGCCGAGCATCTGTGGAAAGTTGAGAGAGCCTCTTGAGAGGGGCTAAGCCAGTAGGCACAAGGTCAGGCCCTGTGGGCGCAGTTTGCATTGGGGCAGAGGCTGGAATGGCTGAATGTCCTCTGGGTCAGCTAACATGCTCTGCTGGCCTGTCTGTGGAGGGTGGTGGTTTGGGGGATGTGCAAATCTTTGAGAGGTGTCCTCCAAGCCCCAGGTACTGACTGGGTTGATAGAGTCTGGGAGCTTAGGTATGGACAGGCTGTGTGGTTTCTGTGCAGCCTCACCCTTGCACCCCTGCCGGGAAGGAGCATGCAGGTTGGGAGGGGGATGTCCAAGCTGTGGTCTAAGGAGACAGTGGCTCTGGCGGGCGGTTGGGAATAGTGAGTGGGAGTGCATGTGAAAACGCCCCAGGTCACCCTGGCTGCTCTTTGACCATGCAAAAGCATCAGGGTACTGAGTAGCCTGTGATTTGGAGGAGGTCATGTAGTATATGAGGTCAGCTCTCACACCTCTGAAGCTCTTAAGGCTTTATGGGACCCTCATGGTGAGGCAAGTGGGTGTAGTGTGGCCTGGGTACCAGGAGGTAGAAGATTTGCCATGGTTGGGAGAGAGCTACTCCCTACCCAGGGGACTATCTTTGCCTTAGGATGCTTGTGGACTTGACATGTGAGTCAGCTGGCACCACCACTGGGAGGTGATCTGTCATCCACCTGCTGCCTGAACTGCAGCTTCTTTTACAGCTTCAGCTGAAGCAGTGGTTTCCAAATGTCCCAGAAAGGAACCACCATTGTCCCTCTCCTCAGTGTATCCACCACTGTCCTTCATGGCCCCTCCCAGTATGGTCTTCCTTTCCCTATATTGACCCTTCCATGTGGCTATCACTGTCCCTTGACTGTCCCTCTCAGTGTGACCACCCAGCTTCCTCACTATCCTGAACTGTCACTCAGGACCTAGCCTGTTTACATCTTCAGGTCTTGGCTCTGGTTTCAGGCTGCTTCTGTGTGCTTGAGAGTCTTTCAGTGTCAATTAGGATCACATATTTCCTTGTTTTTTGCTCAAAGAGACAGAAATCTCTCATCTGTGGAGAGAATAGGAATGGTTCCCCCAAGTTCCAGTGGGCCATGGAGCCAACGGACTATTGGAGTCAATAACAGTTGCTTTAGGAGTGTCAGGTGCAGCTATGCTTTGACTAATTAGGATCTGCTTCTGAATTTGGGGATGGAGGTTAAAATGCCCTGAGCCCTGTGGGGGAGTGTTGTGGTTTGGATATGAGGTTCTTTCCGAAAGCTCATGTGAGACAATGGAGTAATGTCCATAGGGGAAATGATTCAGAATTGCAGCCTAATCACTGGATTAATCCATTTGAGAGATGAATAATTTGAAAGGGCTACTGTGGTGGGTGATAACTGTAGGCAGGTAGCATTGGCAGGAGGATATAGGTCACTGGGTGTGTGCCTTTGAGGTTTGTATTTTGTCCCTGGCACCTTGCTTGCTCTCTGCTTCCTGGCTGCAATGAGATGAGCAGATATCTTCCACCACACCCTTCTACCATAATGTTGTGCCTCACCGCAGGCCCAGAGCAATGGAGATGGCCAATTATGAACTGAGACCTCTGAAACCATGGCTCCAAATGAACTTTTTTACTTTAAGTTGTTCTTGTCAAGTATTTTGGTTAAAGTGACAAAAAGCTGACTAACAAACGGAGAGGCAGGCACTTCAACAAAAGGAGGTCCTCTTTTAGCAAGGAAGAAGAGGGAATGGCTGTTGGGAGGGCAGTTGTCAGTGCCCAGTCTCCAGGCATCTATTCAGGTGACAGGGACCACATCTAGGACGACCATCAATGGTGAGGACCTGAAGAGCCATCAAACACTTTTCCAGAACTTCCTGGCAAAGGACAAGGCTCAGTATTCCCATGGCCCAGGACAGCTACTCAACCTGAGATTGGCCTAAGGCTGGCCTGCCCTCTCTAGTGGCCACATGCCCTCATGTCCACGTTTGGAGGGAGGGGTCAATGAAGCATGCCTATGAGTGGGTTCATTCTTGGGTCACCTGGAGTCTTCCATGATACCCCATTTCTGTCCCTACCCCAGTCCTTTCCTCAGAGTTCCAGCTCCTTGTATCCAGCTGCCTTCTTGATTTGGATTTTTCCACCCCACATATCCAAAACTGAACTCATGATTTTCTACCAGGGCTGCTGCTTATCCTGTGTCCCCAGACACAGTGAATGGAACCCCTGTGCATTCTTGTTAGATGCTAGAAAGTAGGGATGCATCTTTTGCTCATCCTTCACATCCCACCATTCTTGGTATTTGGTCAGTTTACTACATTTTAGATCTGTAAATCTTCCCTTTCTGCTCCATGACACTACCATTACTGTTTTTCACAAAATGGGCATCTGTAAGGGGGAATCTCAATTGGCCCCTATTACTCTTCCTGCACCTATTCTTCTTCCCATATAATTTCTTACAAACAACCAGGTTCTTAAAATATAATGTGATCACATTACTCATTTACACGAGTGTGTGTGTATTACTTTTAAACTTTTCAATGGGTTCCCAACTCTTTTAGAATAAACACTAACCTCTGCTCAAGGCTCACAAGGATGGCATGGTCTGGTCCTTCCAGCTTCAGTGAATAGTTCTTGTTCTCTGTCTTCCTCTCTGTCTTTCCGTCCTGCAGCCACACTGCCCTTTTGTTCGACACTCACCATATTCCCCAGAACTTTTGCACATGCAGTTCTCTCATCTGACAGAGTAGGAGCCACTTTCTATAAGAGGGATGGAAAATGCCAGGTCTGGGATTTCCCAGGTTTTCTTGCAGTTAAGGCATGAGTACATGACCCAGGCTCCACTCATCAGATACACCCATTGGTAACTGAATCTGAGGCTCCAGACAAGAGGAAGCAGGAGCCCCACAGATCCCACTTGGGCAGGCTGATGGCAGAAGGGGCAGTGCTAGCTGTTTCCAAGGAGCAGAGGCACCTGAGGCTCTTGAGGCAGCATCCCAATCTCCATGGTGTCTGTGACACCTGTGGGTGTGAGCCACAAGGAAACCCTCCCCAGCTAAACACGGTGGTGGGGTCTTGACCTTTGTCCCTCTCTGCAAAGCCCCAAAGCCTGGTTCTCCAATCCTACCCCAAAGCATGGGGGATATCCTAGAGCAATTCCTGCACTGTGTCCATCAGCGAGTCTGTTTGTGTTGTTTGCCATTAGGAACCTTGATGGACCAGGTCTCTGCAGGTGCCATCTGATCCCGTTCCAGGGCTTAGGGACACCACTTGCTCCTGGTTTGCTTATTTGGCCTTGATGGCTTTTTATAGTCTTTCACTTGCTCCTGTTCCTGCAGACTTCCTTTATGGCTGGTGTTTGTTCATAGTCGTCAATGTTTAGAGGCTTTGCGTCACTTGTTGGCTAAATGATAGTATCTCTGGTCCCACACAGTGATGCCTCCCTGCATGACTATTTACTGGGTACCATTTACTAAGATGATGTTTCTCAGAAGAGGAGGCTTGGAGCAACATTCCTAGTGCTATTGTAAGACTTGTGGGCATTAAGGGGCTATTGTAGTGTTTTTATTTTGAGACAGGGTCTTGCTAAGTTGCTGAGACTGGCTTTGAACTTGTGATCCTCCTGCCTCAGCCTCCTGAGCTGCTGGGATTACAGGTATGTGCCACCATGCCTGGAAAGTTATCCATTGTTATATGC